ATGGAGCATCATCAAGGGCCAAAATAAACTTGGTTTAGGGTTTTTAAAAACCTCAAATCATTAGGATTATTAAGCACTAAACTTAAAAGCAAAAATACAGATTACAAATTAAGATTTTTATGAGCACAGCTTCATCACTACTGATAAAAAGACAACAAAATATTGTCCTCTATTATTACACAATATGAAGGTAAAATGAAAGTAACATTGATATACTCTCATGCTTATATATGTATTTTTTAAATAGTAATAAAGATTACATTTTTATATTTCTTACCCTTATGGTGCATTTAAATATAATCAATCCATTTTTTTCCTCAACAACTTTGAGAAATATGCAAAATAGCTATTTTTTCCCCCATGTGACATATGAGAAAGCTGAAAATACAAATAAATTAGGTAACCTGTTTTTAGGTCCTTAAGATCAGAAGCAGATGTGTACTAATCTTGGCTCTAATTCTGTAGCTTCATAAAATTTTTCTGTGTAAATGGAATTATCAAAAAATAAACCAGCTAATGACAAAAATGAACCATGAATTTCAACCCACATTGCCACATTTCAAAATGTCATGCTTTTGAGTCACTTTGTATCTTTTTACTGAGCCAATGCATTTGATACTTTCCACTAGACAGAACAAAAATAACTCAATCTTATCAAAGAATTTGATAAGCCTCTCAAGGCTCAGTTTCTCTTCTGCATATTATGGTGGCCAACTGCAGCACTCTCAAAAGGCTAAATGTCGAACAGAAATATATCCTTATTCCTATCCAAGGAGAGCAACTGAAATAGGGACTTCATGATACATATGTCTTGTTCTATGTAATACATGAATTCCAAAAAGTTGTATGATAATGTGGAGACTAAATGGTTCTCAGGACTGTCTCTTACCACAAGCACATTAAATGAAGCAATGTCAGAAAGATACAGAAGTAATAAGGTGCCTAATACTGGTAACATACACTAAAATCTTTAGATATTAAAAAGGAAGTCAATTTGCATTCTACACTTAAGAAAAATATGCTCAGACAAGAAGTAGTAGTTAAGTACTGAACTAAAATCCAGATACAACATGAAACCTGTTCAAATTAATGTTTAACTTATAAGAGCTATATGAAATGCATTGTTAATGAAATCCTTGACCCTGGGTGGGGATGACCGTTGAGAGGCAAGAAAAGTTCAGACTATATAATTTGAATTAGTCTCATACACTGGTGAGACAATCTGTAGAGAGCAGGAATGGTGGGTGATCAGAAATTATCCTGTCTGTATCATGTAATGATAATTACATGTGGTTAACAAATAACCTACTAGAAGATCAATGTTTCTAACAATACAATTAAATCTTATACCTAGCAGGAGAAAGTGAAAAGTTAGACCTAAATAGTTTGTTTAAAAAAACAAACTGCAAAGTTTTTTTACCCAAATTCTTTTCAAATATTGAGTTTAACATGTGAGCACCCATCTGCTAAAAACTGAAACCAGTAATTTATTGTAGTTCTATTTAAAGGACTTTAATCATAATTTTCAGGCTTACAAATGAACCCAAACTAATAGATAAAAGACATATTTATATATTCTCATAGTATTCCTTTGACAGAACAATATTACTCAAGGGTTATTTCTGACATAATTCAACTTATTAAACATCTACTAAACTTTTATAATGCTCAATGGCAACTTTTAAAACATCACATTACATACAAACACTGCGATGGTACCTTAATATCAATCTATTGCTAATACACTGTAGAATACCTGTGCTAAAGTTAGCACTGTGGCAAACAAGGAGGATGTATTAACCTTATGCCCTCCCTGAAGTGGACCTTCAAAAGTCTTCAAAGTCATTTCTCTAATCAGGTGTGTATACAATGTTTGGCATGGATAGCATACCAACTAGGGCGGCAAAATAGTAGACAAAGTTTAAATTTTAATCACTAAAGATGAACTTGATACTCAAGAAAAATAATTGGTCACCTTGGAAGGGTGCTAGTAAGTCAAGTAATTGTAGAAACAAAGAGAAAAATCAAGCATTTATTATGCCTGCTTTCCCTTTAAGGAACTGTCATCGAATAATTGATGAGGGGACATTTCTCAATATATGTTCTAATAAATATAGAAATGACAGAATTGGATATCACAGCTTTGCAAACTCCTAAAGAAGTCATTAATGAATATAGACAAAACCCACTGATAGCCAAGATGCTCATAAATTATTCCAGCCTCCCCCACCACCAAGTAGAATGTGAATCAATCAAGCCTCTAGATATTCCAGTTTGTAAACACCAGTAGAGAGGCACAAATAATTTAAATCAAAGAAATTCAACCAGCAAAACCCAGACTGAGAAAAAACTCTAATGTTAAAACCTGGTTTCTTCAACATATAGAGGGAATAAAAAGTATAGTGAGGGACAACCTATAGATTAAAAACTTAACAGATGTTTTCAACAAAACGTGTATACTTTGTTTAAATATCAAGTAAAAAAAACAACAAAAAAATTAAAACATTTATGATACTACCAGGAAAGTTTGAACACTGACCAGATACTTGATGATTTAAAGAATTATCATATTGTGATGTTTTTAAGAGGAGTTCTTATTTTATAGATATATTTTTAAATCTTTATGGATAAGGTCATATGTTGTCTGGAATTTGCTTCAAAATAATTCAGGGGAAGAGATGGTGTAGAATAGGGTTACAGATGAAACATTATCAAAAATAAATTGATAATGACTGAAGCAGGGTGACAGATACAAAAGGGCTCACTAGTTATCTTCTCTATTTGTGACTGCTTGGAATTTTCCATAATAAAAGTCTATAAAAGAAAGATGAACTAAAAAGTTCTATATGACAATCCATAGAGCGAGGACAAAAAAATTCCATGTCCCTCAGAGGTCAAAACAAATGAACTAAAATCTTAATGGTGAGTTAGACAAGCATTCTCCCTGTACACACACTCTATTACTACTTGACAAGCGAGAAAACTGAGACCCAAAGAGGTAAGTCTTGCTCAAGGTCACAAAACATCAGCAGAGCCAAAACCAGACTCCACAATTGCAAGCCCAGAAATAGCTCCAAGTTGGATCTAAGTTAAAAGAAGATGTAAGCAGTCCTGAAGTAGTCGGAAAGCCCATCAAAGATGTAAAAAAGGTCTTAAAAGTTAGGTGAAAAAAAAGTAAGCTGGCTTGGAGGGCTGTATGCTAGAGTGAGAGCAATAAAGCTAGAAAGTATAAAAAACTGTATATTTGGTAATCATCCTCACTAGGGAGCAGAAGTGTTAAATCTATTATGTATATTTGAAAGCTACTTGAACTGAAGGTGTTTGTGGGAAAGAAAGTTGTTGTCTAGCTTACAAGTAGCTTATTCTTGAACTGGTGAAACATGAAATAACAATTTTTTGAAAAAAATTGAAAAGAATTTTAAATCTTAAGTGGACAAGTGATTTAAATCATAAGCATAAACTTGGGACTTATCTTCCTGTCCAAGAATAGGCTTCAAAATTTGACTGTGAAGGGCCTTCACTGTTTACTTAGATCTTGATGAATAGAAGGATTCATTTATATTAAATGTCATTAAGAATAAAATTGTGTATGCCAACGAACTATGCTGTCTTTTCAACTAGTGCAGTGTCATGTAAATAAAACATGAACTCAACCTAGAAACAACATAACTAATTAATAAGACAACGTAACCCCCCATTTACCTTTTGTCATCCAGAAAAATAGTAAAACCTAGTAAGTTTGAGGTATTTTTAAATAAATCATTTTCAAACTAACAGGCATTCATACTAAAATGCATTTTAATTTTTGGCTAACATGTGTTAGTGACTATTTTCAAAAGTGTCTGGTGATTTGGATTCTTTTTTATTGGAAGAGTGGTCTATTTTTAAAAAGACATTTCTGGCATTAAATTACACAAGACTAAAAGCTATTTTAAAAATCCCTATTAAACATTTCAAAGTATACATCCTTCCATAATTGTAAGAAATACCAAACCAGAAAGTCAAAGAAAATTCCAGTGTGACCTATAAAATTTAATATTACAGATAACTGAGATTATCTGTTAAAGAATAACTTATTCTTTAAAGAGTTGAAAGTATAAAAAAGGAGCCGGAAGGGATGATGCAAAAACGGAAGCTGAGACTTGAAAACCACTAGAGATCTAAAGTAACTTAAGTAGATTAAAGATGTTTCTCTGACCCTTGCCAATATCTTCAAAGTGATAATGTAGCTTCTCACTTGAAAAAGATGTTTTAAGTAGTACCCTTCTCCTCCGATAGCCTAAAATCAAAGCTAACGTAAAAATTCACACGAAGGCAGAGAGAAAGGAAAATTATTTTTCATTGACAAAATCAAAAATATTAAGGAGTCATACTGGATAAGACCATGGACTTGAATCCGGCAGTACTGAGTTTCTGGCTCAGTTCTGCTACTCACTAGCCCCCCTAACTTCAGCATCAGTTTTCTCATCAGTAAGATAATTACAACACCCATCTCACAAGATTGTTGTAAGAATCAAATGAGACAATGCTCATCAGGTGCTAACATCACAGCAAGCTTATAGTAACCATCTCAAATCAAAAACCTTTTTATATAATCAGTAACCTTTTTTATACAACTTAAAAGGTTAACCATGAGAAAAATGCTTAATGCTCTTCTCGAAAAAGTATCTCTATCCTCCCACTTATGGGAGAAAAAGAAAAGCACAAACAAAAATTAAAATATTTTATTTTCTCTTAAGGTCATAATTTTACTTATATAATTTTGGGATCACTGAAAACAAATATCAAATAAAAACCACATCCTGCAGGTTTTAGTAGCATGCCAGTATTGTGCACGTGTTCAAACCTGAAGAAATGGAAACAGCAAATCCTGTGTTTTTACATTTTGGGTCATTACTATCAATAAATATGCTATTATCCATTAAATAAAGTGATAATAAGGCCAGTAACAAAATTTTATAACAAAATATTTTAAAACTTAGAAATAAAAAAGCAGTTACCTTTGTACAATAAAGCATCCAAAGTTCAAAGAGCCTCTCTCTGGATGCCATTCTGGCTTCCACTCTGGCACTTTAATTTTTCCTCAAAAAAAAAAATTATGTTCAAGACCACAGCATGTTCATTTTATTTTCCAAGTTTTTCAGCTGTTACAGTATATTTCAAAGCAGTAGGGAAAACAAAAAGGAGTGAAATAAATGGACTGTCTTCTGGTGAATAAAATTCAGTTTCAGCAGTAACTCCAACTTATCTTCATCAGAAGTTGGGCAATTAAATAAACCTGTGAAAAAGAAAATATGCAAATATCTGCTAGAAAGAGATCATACTAAAGATTTTAGATTTATCAGACCTAGAGATCTATCTACTTAACTTCCCACAAACGGGCTAAGCTTTTATTTACAGTTAGATTTCACAGAAACTTGAGTTTCAGGAAAACATTACAGTTAATAGTATTTCGCATGAATACAAAGTCAGAATCCTCTAGGGCAGACTCATAAAGATGTGTGCTCAAAACCAAAAATGCGTCCACTGATGATAAACAGCAACAGGACGTTCCCACGCATATTTTCTTTAAAAAAAGAAAAAGCACACTTACTTCTGACATACAGAATCCCTCAGAATTTCCTAGTACGCTTCTTAAACTTGCTGGAAATGTTTGTTGCTGTGCAGCAGGGCGTGGGGGTGGAGAGTGAGGAATTCCTGGTTTGTTTGTTTTCACAATCCTCAGAGAGTGAAAATCAACCTGCCCACCTGGCCTCTGCCTCTCCCCACCCAGGAAGAAAGGAGCTCGCACGCACCGGCGAGGAAAATGCCCGGGGAAAGCCTCCAAGTGTTTTCGGAGATCTTTAAATTTCCTCTTCGCATCCCAAACAACCGAAAGAGAGGCAAACTTGGTGGGCCAAGTGGCCAAGAAACGCTCTGGAAGTGAGGCAACGAGAGCTCGCCGTCTCCCACCCGCTACCTACGCCCGCCCGCCAGCGCCGCCGCACCCCCGAGCCAACCTCGCCCCTCACAGCCGCCGCTCACGCCACAGCGCGCCCTCCGCCAAGCACCCGGGGCCCTCCCACTTCTGCCACGCAGACCCCGTCTTCCCTACGACCCGCTCCCCCTCACCGCGCTCACTTTAGGGGGTTGCGCCGCCGCCGCGGGCCGACGTCTAACTTTGCCTCGCCCCCTAACCAACCCGAAGCCCCGAGTCACCCCGCAGCTGGGCGACGGGCGGGAGAGGGAGGCGGGGCGGCGACAGCGCGAGGCGGGGCGCGAGGTCTGGGAGGAGCCAGGGGCGGGGTTGTCCCCTCGGCTAATCATTCCGGCCTCTGAAAATATATTCGGCCCCAGGGCAGTCGCTGTTCATTGGCCGCTCTTGCTGGGAAGGGGCGGGATGACATGAAGCCCCGCCCCATCATGCCTGCGCAGTCTCAGTCTCTCCATCCCTGAAAACCCAGCGGCTGTCGCCACTCCAGTCTTCCCCCAGCCCTCGACGTGTAAGGGAGGGGCCAACGTGCTGACGTCAAACCCTGGCCCTGCTGGGCTCGGCAGACGTAGCCTTCGGCTAACAGCGTCATTTCCGGGAATGTGCGGAGGGCGGTGGGCAGTACAGTGAGAACTCAGGTGCATTTCGTTTGGTTTTCTTGCTGTGCAAAGGGGATTGGTCCAGGTAGTATACAGTAATGTGAAAACAGACAACTATCCCTACACCCCTCAAAAAGTCATTTTCCTTAAAATGTGCTGATGCCTCCCTCGTGCTTTCCCGTTCGCCGAGCGTCAAGTCCTAAAAGCTTATTTTGCCACAGCTAAAGGTTTCAAAACGGTTTTACCCTTTCAGGAAAAGAAAAGAGAAACGGCTGCATTTACGAGATACGACTTTCAGAGTTTTTTTAAAGGAGGAGGGGAAGACTCATAAGATGTATCGCCTTTGGTACACATAAACAGTTTTAAATTTTTTTATTGTGAAAAATTTCAAGCATATACAAAAGTAAACCAGTATAATGAAATCCCACATACATATCAGCACCGATCTTTCAAAATTATCAACTAACATCCCATCTTGTTTCATATGTTCCAGCAGTCAGCAAACTGTAAAAATCCGGAGAGAAAATATTTTAGGTTTTGCACAAAACTTACATAACAAAAATCAAAATAAGAATAATTCATGATATGTGAAAAATAGGTGAAATTCAAGTTTCACTGTTGTAAAGGTTGTTGGGACGCATTAATAGCTACTTTCACTCCAAGATAACTGAATTGAGAGTAATTTAGAGCAGTTGTTTGCAAATTGAGCCTTTTCAACATCCCTCCCTGGTTGTCTAGCAAGCATGTGAAACTTAGCACGTGAAAACTTCAGGAGAGCGAGGAATTTCTCTTCCTCTTCCCACGAATCCCCCATTATAGTTATTAGCAGTTCTATTCTTCCAGCTGGTCAGTCCAAGAACCTAGGAAGTACCCTTTCCATCTGTGGCATGTACCTCACATTCAATCCAATCCTTTCAGCTATATTTGCAAAATATATCTGGAATTTAACCATTTTCTACACCACCACTACCACCCTGACATGAATTACGATGAAATCTTTTCTGGTTTATTGTAAAGCCAATTTATCTCGTTGCCTCTACTTATGCACACTCCCCACCCATCGATGATTTTCAACATTGCAACAAAAGTGATCTTTTAACATAGAGATAAGATGCCGCTCCTCTGCCAAAACCTCTCCAATGGCTTCCCTTCCTACTTAAAATGGCCAGGAAGGGCCTGTGCTTTCCTCCCACACTTCCCTCTCTAACCTCTCCATTATCCTGGCCTTCCCTTATTTCACTCCAGACACAGGCTTCCTTGCTTGCTGCTCCTCACATTCACTAAGCATACTGCAGTCTCAAGGATTTTACATAAACTGCCCCGCACCTGAAATGCTCTTTCCCCTGATGTCCACACAATCTTCAAGTCTCTGCTCAAGAATCCCCTTGTCCATTCCTGCAGTCTGGATGTTTGTGTACTCCAAGTTTTATATGCTCATGAGCATCCTAACCCCCAAGATGGTTGTATTAGGAGGTGGGGACCTTTGGGAGCTATTAGGTCATGAGAGAGTAGCGCTTTAGGTCATGAATGGGATTAGTGCTTTTATAAAATAGATCTCTCAGAGCTTCCTAGCCCTCCCTACACAAGAAGTCTGGGAGCTGGAAGAGGGCATTCCTCTAATCATGCTAGCATTCTAATCTTGGATTTCCAGTCTCCAGAACGCTGAGAATTAATTTCTGTTTAGAAATGACTCTGTCTGGTATTTTTTTATACAGCAGCCCAAATAGACTAAGATACCAGTGAAGCATTCCCTGACCCTTTGTTAGAAAGTAGCATCCCCTTTTCTTCCTTTATTTTTTACTATAGCACTTAACAGCTGACATAATTTCTCTGTTTATTATTAGTTCCCATCGAAAGAATTAAAGAGATAAATTAAAATCTCAGGGTTGCTTTTTCATCATGATTCAGAGAAAGTAAAATTAGGTTAACTTGATGGGTAATGACATCTTGTATGTATAATAACCTGTTTGCAATCATTCCAACTCTAGGAAACCTGCCAACTGAAGCAACTGTTCAATTGTGCTAGATAGAACATAGTTTCCCTTGGACAGAACTGAAGACATATGAGCAAGTTTTTGTTTTTCAACCATCCCTTTCATAAATTCTATCCTGGCCATTGTGATTTAATCTATACCTTTTCAGTTAGCCTTGCAGAAGCTTATCAATTTTATTGATTTTTTTTTTTAATCCACATTTTGGTTTTGTTGACTTTCAATATTGACTTCCTGTTTTTCAATTTCATTGATATCTGCTCTAATTTTTAATATTTATTTGTTCTTTTTCTAGTTTTCTAAGGTAGGCATTTAGAAGATAGATTTTGGATCTATCTTCTTTTCCCATATATACATTCAATGCTATAAATTTCCCTCTAAGAGCAGCCTTTTCCATATCTCACAAGTTTTAATAAGTTGTACTTTCATTTTCATTAGTTCAAAATGTTTCAGTTTCTCATGAGATTTATTTGACCATGTGTTATTTAGAAGGGTGTTGCTTAATACATACCTAATTCAATATGTTCTTACTATTATTATTTTGAACAATTATCTGTTAGATCAACTAAGAATAAGAAAAATAAAAGGTTTTTTCCTGCTGGCTGGATATATTTCATTTTTCTGTTTTTTTGTTTTGGTCACAGAATGCTGTTTGCAGTAAGGAAGCTGGCATTGCAGGATGGTGGTAAAGTGGCTTGTTCACATAAACCAGTACACATGTTCACCCTTAGTGCAAAAGGCCCTAATGGTACGTACCCTATCGAAATTCAGGACATCTACAATATTTTGTTTTGTTGTTTGTCTTCTGTCATCATTTTTTTAATCCTTACCCAAAGATTGTTTTTTATTGATTTGAGAGAGAAAAAAGGGGGGAGAGAGACAGACAGAGAGAGAGAAACATCCATGTGAGAGAGAAATATTAATCGGCTGCCTCCTGTACTCGCCCTGACCAAGGATTGAACCTGCAACCTAGGTATGTGCCCTGACTGGGAATCAAAACTGCAACCTTTTGGTGTACAGGACAACTCTCCAACCAACTGAGCCATCCAGCCAGGGATTGTCTCTTTTTTTAATAAACATTTTCAAGGTTTGTCCAAAAAAAGGACCACATAGGTTCTTGGCTAGCAGATGACAACTCAGAATAGTTGTTGCACACTTGAACTGTCACCTTTTCCAGGCTGGCAGTTGATATCTTTTTTTTTCTTCAACTCATTTTTCTTTTAAATTTAATAATGCTCCAACTGAGACAGGATAATAAGAAGATAGGAAAATTCTTTGGCAAGTGATATGGGGAAACAGACAGATAGCTGAACTAGCCGAGCAATTTATAGCCAGATAGAGGTCACTGGGGCAGAAAGCCCCAGGCGCCTAGCAATGTGCAAAATTGGCATATCCTCCCCTGGCATATTACTAGCCATGCGGTTTAGAACCCCTGATCTTTCTTATCTCTGGTCATGGGATTCAGACCCCCAACCTCCTACCTTTCCTCCCTAGAGATAACATCTAGGCCTCAGTTGTGTTTCAGCTCCAGGCCCAGAAAAAGAGCAAAACCAAATGGGCAATGCCAGGACCAGCTGTGATGACTTAATGACTCCTGGTACCAACCAATCCGTGGAGACCATAACCCTGAAAGGGCACACCTGGAAAAGCTGACGAATATTCTATTGAGATCCTTCCCTAAGACCTCCCCTAAACTCTCAGCCTTTAAAACCCTCAAGATGAAGGACCCAGCTCCTGTTCTCCCTCTCCAGAACACACCAGTGCCTTTCCCTTCTCCTTCTTCCCCCACAGGAGTGCATCTCCTAAACTCGAAGGGACCCTACAAGACTTGCAACCAGGGGAGCAATGGACAGGGGCTGCTCTCCTGGGCTAAACCCCTAAACCTGTCACCTTTCTCTGACTCTTCAGTGAGCTGACAGCAGCCCCACCTTGGCTCACTTCTTTCCTATAACATTTCTAGAGAGCCAAAGCAGCCCCACCTAGGCTCTCTCCTGTTGCTTCTTATATCCTAGGGCCTTCCTTGTTTCACTGCCCCCAGTTTTAATAAATATACTCTCTAAATCACCTGGACTCATGTTGTGAAATCTTCCCTGCACGAAGTCAAGAACCTACACACGGTAGGCCAGAGGCAGACCCACTCCTCCTGCCTGGTCCCATTTCCGATTGCAACTAGTCCTGATGGCTGGCTCAATAATTTAGATTTCATTCTGTATAAAATTAGAGTTTTAGGTACAGACATGACAAGATTAAAACTATATTTGTTGTTCTAGACTTTGTGGTATCTTTCCCAAGGCAACATGTAATCATACACCCCACCCCATATAAAATATACTACTTAAAATTCAGTTGAAACATAAAAGAAAACCACTTTGCTTTCATGTATAATGAACTTTCTATGGTGGCTGGGAAGTAATTGAAAGCTAAGACTTCACAATCTAGAATAGAGAAAAATTCTTTAATCAAGAACAAAAAGGAAATTACAGGAAATTTTTATTTAAAAATTAGCATCTTCTCCTTTTAAATTCTTATTTCCTGTGAAGAAAATAAAATTTTGAGACTGGGAGATATTTCTTGTTCTAAGAAAGCAGTTTTCTTGAAATTCAATTGCTCTAATTCAAATTCATGTTAATCAATATCTGGATTTCTTTACTACTTGTTATGTAACAAGGAATATTTCTTTCTTAGAGCAATACAATGCTATAACAATTAAAAAGAAAAAACAAACCTTTGTGCAATCTCTACCCTTGTCTGCTGTATCTATCACGCATCTCAGTGACTTTCTTCCCTACATTTTACACAGTAAAAAGTCAAATAATATATTTCTGACCAATCTATTAGCATTCCTAGTAACTATATCCGGTACTGTTTTCAGTTTTTTAAATAATTGTTTTAATTTGTATATTCGTTTGATTTATTGGTTCCTCTTTACTGTTTGAGTAATAAAGTGGGTTAATAATTATCAGTTTATTTGGAATTAAGGCTATAAGAGTCAGAGCTTCAGGGGCAAATCACCATAACTGTGACTCATGGGGCCTTACTTTTTTCATATAACACCAAGATTTTAATAGTAATCAAATAGGAAACACTTAAAAAAAGAATCTTGGATCAGGGAGTTCCTCGTTGTAGGGACAATCTGACACACAATAAAGGCAGTCAATTCAACAATGATTAAAAGAAAAGGTGCTTCAGTTTTTCAAAGATATTTCTGAAAAAAGTACATACTATTTCACTTTTCCTTTTTTATTATAATGGATTACATGTAAGGGGATATATTTTTGTTTATTGAGCATTACATTCTCATATTTATTTCCTGCCAAAAGGATCATTAGCTTTTGTTTATCACATGATTCATCGTAATGAAACACATGAGTAGATCAAGAAGATTATGGTTTCCAGCTGTGAATAAAGAGATGGAAAATAGTGCCCTAAAGAAATAAGTATGAATGAAACAAAAGCTTATTTCAGTATAAATTAAGAGGGAGAATAGACCATTAAAGGCAATTTTTTTTTCCA